TTGATGGGCATGACACAGTACTCAAGCGCTAGTTTGGGGAGCCCATTAGTTGTGTTACTAACGTCTTCTTGGTGTATCGGCAGCGACAGGACAACGAGTTTCAGAAGTGTGCAAGTGGTTCATTTCCAGAGAACCTAGATTGGCCCATGAATTCTCGAGACGCCCCTGATACAGCCCCTAAATGGCATCGAGTTTGCTTTGTGCGTCAAGACAGGCACAGATTCCGTGCGTTACAGAGTTTGTAGAGGACCGTCACGTTGATGTGAAGGCCAGCAGGCGTAAGCCGACTTTGCCAGTTGGGTGTTCAATCACCATTCTTGGAAGGCAAACCGATGTTACGGTGGAGGTTTTCGACGAGTCCACGAACTCCCACAGATCAGAATTAACCGACCGAGAGTCGTCCGCTTCCTTCTTTCTTCTTTCTCCCGAAGCGCGTTTCGACGATAGGACGTTCGCGTCTGTGGGAGATATCATGAAACTGACGGACCGAGACAGACCTCGCTATGTGATTGCCACCGTTGGTTGGATGTCGCTCGAGGGACACTGCACAGTCGACGTTGGTGATGTGTTCAGAGTTGATAGCCGAGTGGTACTCACCGAACACCAGCGCGCCTGTGCGGAATGGCACAGATGCGCAGTCGGCAACACACCGTGCAACCTGAAGACCTGGAGTGCCCTGGACGAGTGCGCTGCCCACTCTGCAAAACTGGACTTCGCCGTGACCTGCAGCTTCCAAGCCTATGATGACCAAGCCCGCTTCACGCTCAGTGACATCGAGCGCTGGGTTCAAGACAAGACGGTTACCTGCCCGATAAGATTGCAGGAGGTCTTCGAATGTGGGGACGCCACTATATCCAAGGGACGGAAGCTTGCAATTCCTCGAACACGTTCCACCAATTGGTTGCTCTTATACCTTGGCGAGGAGTCGTTGGTGGCCACGAAGAGTCAATTTGTCAGAATGTCTGCAGACACAGCCTCGGATGTCATGGTCAAGACCGTATGCCGCGAGGCACAGTACAAGGCCATCGTGTCGGGTATCGTTTACCTCGCCAGCTATACCAAGCTGAGGTCTATCGAGGAGCTGAAGCATGCAGAAGAAGCGCCGGCTGTTCCACGTAGGCCAAGTCACACTGATGACAAAGACCAGGATGAGATTGACTACGAGGATTGCGAAGAGCTCGCCAAGAAAAACAACATTCCACGTTCCGCCATCCCATGGAGACTACCGAAGCCAAGCAGTCAGGCGGCGCAAGAGTCAACGAATACGTCCGTTCCCTATGTGGAGTGCATACAGCCCCCGGCTCCTCCATACCTCTCGTGTCTGCCGATGCCAGATTTTTCAGCACTAGGCACGCCACCGCACGGCGATGTATCGCCACAATTGCCACGCAAGCCTCATTGCAACATCCCTCCTGTGGCCAGAAAGCCGGAAACCGCCAGGAGTTCGATGAAAAAACCAAGGGTCAGCGCCCCCAGCGCCAACAGGGAGGCTTCCATTTTGCCCGCTCTGAACAAGAGATCCACCATCTCCTCCATCCCTCTCAATGGAGTGAATGTGTTCAATCCAACACCACCTACACCGCCGGAAACCGTTGGTGATCTGGAGTATAACTACGTAGACATGACGGATGGAAGCATAGTTGACATGCCACTGGAGCGCGTGTCGTCAGGGGAACTCGAACATCGCCTGAGGGCCGGCAATCTCGGTCATCTTGCTGATAGAGTGCGGAGGCGGCGTATCGACGGAAGAAGCATAAGCAGAATGAGCAGCGACGAATTGCACAGCGTACTGGGAATAGAGACCCAGCTAGATCGCATGATGATTGCTCGGCTACTTCAAAAATGAAGCCAAGAACACAAAATGAGTCTGTTGTTCCTAAAAAACAATTACATGTACATGTATGTCTGGGGCTAACGGTCTCTACATAAATTGCGCTGCTCTTCACAAGTAATATCCAGGAAAATTCGCGGGTAGCCCAAACGGCTCCTTTTTGTTATAGCATTAATCTGCAAGAACCATCTGATCTTGCCTTGAACTGAGTTTCTTTTTACTGTTATCGTACAAATTCTACAGATTTGCTAGCGCAAACAGTCCCATTGGCTGGCTGGTGGCAGTTGGAGGATGTCACCATTATTATTGATGTGTAGCCTGCAAATTTGTCGAAAGTCAATGTTGTGCGCGCTGTTTATCTCACTTGATCACGTTCTTTGCTTTTTAATGACAATGTTAATGTCATCAGTCTGAAAAACGAGAGAGCTTGGAAGCTCAGGGCCCTACGCTATGCTTTTTTGCCTTGATGACCTAGACAAAAAAAGTATGGGGATGTTATAAATTCTTTAAAAAATTCCTTTTTTTTTAAGACATAACCTGGGATTCGAACCCGCACTATCGCGCGCCCTGCATGCATCCCCCGATACACTTCGCATACATATTAATTCTTCAAAGTAGTTTCACATTGTGATCTTGCATTTGAAAGCCCTATTTGAATATGCATTGTGGCCAGCCGTCTTTGATGGCACGGTACGGTAGGGGATAGGTACGGGACAGGTACGATCGAGGGTAATACGACACCGTCTCCCGTACCGTACCGTACCATCAAACACAGCTGGCCACATACAGCTGCCCGCAATATTCAAATAGGGCTTTCAAACGCAAGATAATAACGTAAAGCAACTTGGAAGAATGGGTATGAATGCGAAGTGTATGGGGGAATGCATGTAGGGCGATGGTGCGGGTTCGAATCCCAGGATATGCCTGAAAAATAGGAGAATTGAAAAATTTATAACATCCTATGCTTTTTTGCCGTCAGATACGGATAGCGCCAGGCGTGACACAAACAAACACACAAACAAAATTTAATACCAAATCAAAGCTGTGTGGACCCTGGCTAGCGCCAGACGTTACTGAAGTAACGTCTTCTGCATAGCTACGGGAATTAATATTAGTTCTCACGCTGGTGTGCCATGCCGCCCTAGTCACTTGTGTACTACGCTGCACTGCGGTGCTTTGCTCTCGCTTTCTGAGTTTGCACTTGCAAGTACATGTACATGTACACTAAACAGCTAATTCCTGTGAACGAACACGAACAGAACTGAGTAATGCTCTGCCCTTATACAGTTACGTGCATGTAGCAATGGTTTTTTTTTTTTTTTGTTTGTTTTTGTAGCAATTGTAGATGTACATGTATTTTGCTCGCAGAATTCACACGCTTGTCCAGAGTGTTTGCACATATATGTACATGATTGTATTATGTTTAATACTGACTAGAGTCACTGACACGATCGCTGTTTAGTCTACATGATTGTACATGTATATTACTGGCTGCATTATTGAGGATTTTCCCGGTCCGACAATTATTATTTGATTGGTATCATTTTTAAATAGAGACCAATTCATCATTGTAGCCTGGAAGACTTTGAGAGTATGGTGAGGATGTGTGGACATAGCGGATCGCCCGAGTGGACTCGTTACATCATGATTAAGATATTTCTTACATTGAAAGTGAAATTGACAGAAACATAGGCATACAAGTCATGTACAAACCTTACGGCGGGCAATTCCTCGAATTCTGCTCCATTTTATTATCCACATACCAAGCATGCATGAAACTTACCAGGAGAAGTACCGAATTCTGCCAATTTTTCTGCCGGCATTATCCGCAAAGGCCTGTTGCAAAGTGCGTTTAGTACGAATGAATCATGTTGCTGCGAGCGTAACCGCTCGATAGGCTTTCTCAAAAATTCGCTGAAAAAGAGACTTATCGAAAAATAGCTTACACTGTAGCTTTTCGCCGATTTTGGAGGGTTCCTTTGAGAATCGCCGAAAATCTACCAAATGTTCTTGCAAAGTGCAATTGTGAAGTCAATAATGCCAACTATTCTTTTAGCCGATTTTCCATTACATGTACTGTATATTCCAATTTTGCAGCCGATTCTCGAACAATCAGCTGATTTTGCAGTCGAAACTGATGTACATGTACATGTATATTTGAGCCTAGCGAAATGCCAAATACTAATAATAGGCGAAAAATGGGCGATTTGGAAAAGCCTAGTTACGCCCCTTTGCAGCATACATGTACATGTACATGTATTGCCGCCGGCTGTGCTGACACGGGCCTAGGCCTATCGTCTATACAGTAATTAGGCATGACTTCGCCGTTACGTAACGTTGCATATGCCGGTCGGCGTCATGGTTTCACGTAAACCATGGTAAACCCGTTCTCAAGTACCGGTACATGTACATGTACATGTACATGTAGATCTACATTGTACATGAAAATACAAGTACAAGCATAACTTCAGAAGTTCACGTATGTAGCACTTTTGTACTGTACAATGTCATCCTGTGCACTTGACAACTACTACTACTACCAGTAGTCTAAGTAAAAGTAAAACTAAAAGCTCAATCGGCCTGCCCCGCACGCTTCAAATCGTGCCATCCTACTCAGGCTACTGTCGTGTTTGTTTGTTTGTTTGTATTCTTAGAGTGGGAAGTCCAAAACAGGCCCTAGACAATGGTCCCACTAGAGAGGGAATGCTGCATAACTGTGCATGAGGATATCAGTCGTGGTCTCGTGGACATGGAAATCCTGTCGATTGACCTGACCAGTGCAGCTGGGTCTGCGGCCCTGCGCCCTCTGATCTGCGCGTACAGAACAGTTCACATGTTGATCGGATGGGACCAGTGCGCTGCAGCGCTGCATGCAGCGCATAGGTACTGACTCAGTACTGACAGTAGTGTACTAGTAGTACAGTAGTAGTGTACCTAAAAATGCATGTGTGTAGATCTACCGCTTATACCATGCCACGGCTACATGGCCAGCGCCCTGGCCTTGGGCCGCTAGACGTGCGACCGGATTTCCATGTGCACAACTACTACTAGTACTAGTATTAAATAAATACTAGTATTACCACATGTGTATTATCCACTTGAAATCCAGGACCATCGACAACCCTGGACAACGCACACGAGGTCGTGAGCTAGCTCCGATCTTCTTCCGAATTTCTTCTACAGACAGTGCAAGGCCGGCGAGGTTACGTAGAAATCAGGCGTTCACTCAGTGAGTCGCAAAAGCCGGCTTTTTTTACGACTCCCGCGATCCCTACACTTAACTGTAGCCCTGGTAGAAATCATCTCCACATAAATCATTATGTTTGTTGTAGAAGCACAGATCAATTTTGTTGAGAAAAAGAGGTTTGCATGTTGTTCGCCGTTATAACATTCTTCCATGGCGGAGCCAGGCATGAAGCAAAACGCCAGGCCCCTCGAGTTGCCGGGGAATAGAGACGGTTCGGAGATTGACGGAAGTTCCCCGACAAGTGCTTCAACTACCAGTTCTGATGGTGGTTCTCCACTTGCGACACACTTCTTTGGCGTTCGGCTGTTTGGACTGAGGCGCACAACTCTGAGACGCAACCGAACGATAGACGTCCTTGAATCGATAGGAGCTTCACAACAGCTACAGGATGGGCAAGAGGAGTATCGGCCGACGTTCGGCCTCGGTCTATCAGGCGGGGGCTTCCGGAGCGCGTCTTTCTGTGCAGGTGTGTTGAAGGGCATACTTGACAGCAAACAGGAGTTGGATTATTTGAGCAGCGTGAGCGGCGGTGGCTACATCGCTAGCTCCTATCTGGACTGGAAATACCGAGAAGGCGGAAAGGACGAACCGAAATGGCATAAGGCGTACTTCGGTCGGATGGTCGATCGCATCACCAATGGCCTTGCTAGATTTGAACGGGACACGTTTCTGGGTGTCAGAGACGTCGTGGTGGGACTGTCCAAGCTTATCTTCGTGCATGTGTTCGTGTCCTTGCTGCTGCTCCAAGTTGCTAACAATGTGACGCTGGAGTATATCCGCATCGCTCGAGGCTTCAGTATCGGGCGGCAACTTGCAGCTCGTGAGAAGTCTGACGCCGGTTCGTTCCTGCTGCCTAGTCTTGTGTCGTTAATTTTGCATCTAATTCTGCAGGATGCACTGCTTCACCTGTTCCATTCGAAACACATCTCAAAGGCCAAGCATCTGATTGGAAGCTTGTTCAAGATCTACTGCTTGAGAGAAGTCATTTGCGACATGGTAAGTAGCAAATCAAGTATAATATTCGCGGGATCCGCGTTAGCATTACTTGAATGTTCAGAAACACACAAACTATAGCCTTCGCTTCCGCAGGCCACCACTATGCCTTTTCACCTTGGTGGCAGATGCAGACCTCACAAGTGAGTCAGGGGAGAGGAGGTGAGTCTCTCAACCAATCGGGCGTGTAAGGCCCATAACCCTGTAAACTGCATCCTTGTCATCCTCACTCCAAGCTGTGATTACCCAGTTGACCGTGGGTGTCGGCGCAGTTCATTACGCGTAAAAAGTCTTTTTACACACTCCCTGCTAGGGGTGCGCGGATTATTCCCGGAATAATTTGGGAATACTATCGTTGAGAAATTTTTGGGAATTTTAGGGGAATTCTATCGATCTTTTGCCAGATCCATTGACCTTCAGAAGAGTTTTGGGGGAATTCTGTCAATTTTGACCTGCCAGAGAACAAGCGCGCATCCTCCGGACGCACATACATGTACATGCAGCAACACCCGGACACGACACTGGTAGCTGTGCACTAGTCATGCATGTACATGTACATGTAGATCTATGATACATGTAGTGTAGATCCTGCATGCAGTGATCACGTGCCTGACCGTCCATTTTGCATACTAAAGAGCATGCGCAAGGCACGGCTCGTGCTGGGGTTCTTTTTTTGGGGGGGGGGGGGGGGGGGGGGTTCTGGAGAATGTTTTCGATGTTTTGGGAGAATACTTTCGAAGTTCCGCGGGAAATGCCCGAAAGCATAATATCGGATGCGTGCGAGCATAATCCGTGCACCCCTACTCCCTGCTACCAGCGCGGGTCTCGAACTCGGGACCTCATTCAGGCTCATAGCAAATCAAGTGCTGGAAACAAACACTTGGTGCAGCTCTACAGCCTCTATTGCTGCTGCATCATGCATTTCCCGCTACTTTTCGTAGTTTGAGCACTCTGGCGCTAGAGCCACGAGATATCTTCATGTCTGTGGTGCCTCCTTTGCACCATGCCTGGTAGCTCGGCCTATTTAGCTCGTGGCTGTACTGATGAGGCCTTCATGGCCTAAATAGCTTGCTGTCTACAGTATTGGGTAAAATTTGGAAAACAATATTTTTATAATACGGTAAAGCCTGGTTTAGTCAACCACCCCCTGTTGCTAGCAAAATGATTGTTTAAAACCAGGTGGTCTTTAGAACAAGGTCCCGTGTATTCCCGGCATCATGCGCATACTTCCATACACCATAGTATACTGTACAGGCAGAAAATTTCGTCGCTCAATAATTTCGTCCAACTCCAAAGTCTGGTTCGTCTGGTTATAAATTTCGTCCATGGATCATGAGAGTGTATTGAAGAGCTGGACAAATCGACATTAGTCCGGCATTTAGTATAGTTCGAAACCTCCTTGGACAAAAAAGACGAAATTAAATTCCAGACGAATAATTTTCGCGCTTCTCTCCCCCCCCCCCCCCCCCAAAGCTGCCGGAAAACAAGCACCACCATTCTAAACTTTAGGTAGGGGGTTCAGTTCCGGCCTGGGTCAGGCCAAAAATGCAGTCAAACCTTGACTGTACATTTCAAAAGTGGCCCGGATTACAGCTCTTTGCCCTCATCCCGTTGCCAGGACTCCCTTGTTGATGCTATTTTTAGGTAGCTGAGGTCATTACCTTTCCAATGATGCCACACATGCCTTGCTTGAATGAAAATTCCTGCCGCTCTTTGCACAGAGGCATAGCGAAGTACTGATCTCGACCAGAT